GACCGGAGAGGTGAGGAGGATTCTGGGAGGTCACATGACATCATTCTCATCTCTATTAATAAAACACAGACCTGACCGGAGAGGTGAGGAGGATTCTGGGAGGTCACATGACATCACACAGACCTGACCAGAGAGGGAGGTGAGGAGGATTCTGGGAGGTCACATGACATCACTCTCATCTCTATTAATAAAACACAGACCTGACCGGAGAGGTGAGGGGGATTCTGGGAGGTCACATGACATCATACAGACCTGACCGGAGAGTTGAGGAGTATTCTGGGAGGTCACATGACATCACACAGACCTGACCGGAGAGTTGAGGAGGATTCTGGGAGGTCACATGACATCACACAGACCTGACCGGAGACATGAGGAGGATTCTGGGAGGTCACATGACATCACTCTCATCTCTATTAATAAAACACAGACCTGACCGGAGAGGTGAGGAGGATTCTGGGAGTCTAACATGATGTTCCTATTGGTTCCTTAATACAGAGATTTCCTCTTCTGAAGTCAGGTGATCAAATGACCATCACAGTGCCTCCATGTGACTCCCTAAACCCTGAGAGACACAACATGGAGAAGATTCTAGAAGTCACCAAGAAGATGATGGAGCTGCTGACAGGAGAGGTGAGCGGTGCCGGGAATTCTGGGATATTCTCCAGTAACAGACAAGGGATGTGTCTGGATGGTGACTGTATCATTGTGTGTGTCAGGTTCCTATAAGGTGTCAGGGTGTCACTGTCTATTTCTCCATGGAGGAGTGGGAGTATTTAGAAGGACACAAGGACCTCTACAAGGACGTCATGATGGACAATCAGCCGCCCCTCACATCACCGGGTAAGAGGAGACTTTATTGGAAAGGAGAGAGCAGTACGGAGGCTCCACCTAGATCCCCCATCATCTGATAAACACATAGAAACAATGGATTCAGTCAGTGTGTGTGTTTCCTACAGATGGATCCAGTCATGGGAACCCACCAGAGAGATGTCCCCGTCCTCTGTATTCCCGGGATTCCACACAAGAAGGTCACACCATCCCTCACCATCATCAGGTAGATGGATCCAGTCATGGGAACCCACCAGAGAGATGTCCCCGTCCTCTGTATTCCCAGGATTCCACACAGGAAGGTCACACCACCCCTCACCATCATCAGGTAGATGGATCCAGTCATGGGAACCCACCAGAGAGATGTCCCCGTCCTCTGTATTCCGGGGATTCCACACAGGAAGGTCACACCATCCCTCACCATCATCAGGTAGATGAGGAACAATCACTGATAGTATCATTAGGATCTGTACATTATCTGCATTGTTACCATTGATGTCATTTTTATTATATATTCAGAGTGGAAACATCGGGGATGATAATATAACATCAGTTAAAGATTGTAAAGATGATGTTGAGCACTATGGAGTGATGGAGGAGCTCTCTGAGGAACCCAAGAATCTCTACAAGGACATCATAATGGAAACACCTAACACCAGGAACCCACCAGAGAGATGTCCCTGTCCTCTGTATTCCCAGGATTCCCCACAGGAAGGTCACACCATCCCTCACCATCATCAGGTAGATGGATCCAGTCATGGGAACCCACCAGAGAGATGTCCCCGTCCTCTGCATTCCTGGGATTCCACACAGGAAGGTTACTCCATCCCTCATCACCATCAGGTAGATGGATCCAGTCATGGGAACCTACCAGAGAGATGTCCCCGTCCTCTGTATTCCTGGGATTCCACACAGGAAGGTCACACCATCCCTCACCACCATCAGGTAGATGAGGACAGTCACCAATAGTTGTGGTTTATGCTCACGTTTAAAAAATGTTTTATGATATATATTAGAGTGGAAACCTCAGGAATTATAATATTGATTTTGATTTATAATTATTAAATCATAAACTTAATAAGTGACTTCTGTGTACTAAGCTCGGGCTCAGATCTCCGGAGAGATTATAGTATTGTAGTGTCTGTGTGCTCGGTCAAGTTCATTGACAATCTGTAGGCCATTGCACTGTGTTTGCAGATTGTAAAGTAGATCTGCCAGACGGAGATCTGTGTGTGTGTGGTGGCCCAGCAGACCAGTCTGCGGATAAACTGTTGGGTGGTGGCAAGCTACCGTTTGTTGTGTGTCTGGTGTGGGGGTACACGGGAAGGGTAGTGTCTGGTTTAGGGGCGCGTGGGGAAGGGGAGTGTCTGGTGTGGACAGTGGAAGAGTGATTATCACCGGGGTTCTAGCTCATAGGATAGCTGGAGGAATCCTAGAAGGGTGTGATAATTGCTAGACTGCTCCCCAACCCTGAGAGTGACCATATTGTATATAAGTTTTGTATCTGCCTGTGTGTGGTCAGCCAGCTGGATTGGAGTGGAGTCTCCCTCTAGTGGTAGGCAGAGGTAGTGCAGGCTGTGAAAGTGTACCATGGCCAGTTTTTTATGTTCAAAGTAAGTCCCCCTCATTCCCCTTTACCCCAAGACGAGGACCACGCCCCGGTTAGCTATTCGCCGTGGGTATGCATTATTGTGACAGATTGGGCAGCACAGTGGCTAAATATTTAGCACTTCCGCCTGGCAGTACTCTGGTCATTGGTTCGAATCCCAGCCACAGCACCACCTGCCTGGAGTGTGCATGTTCTCCCTGTGCCTGCATTGGTTTCCTCCCACACTCCAAAGACATGCTGGGAGGTGAATTGGCTCCTGCACAAATTGTCCCTAGTTTGTGCATGTATGAATGTGAGTTGGGGACCTTAGATTGTATGTTCCTCGGGGGCGGGGACTGATATGAATGTATAATATATATGTAAAGCGCTACATAAATTGACAACGCTATATAAGTAGCTGAAATAAATAAATAAATAAAAGGAGATTGAACAATGTAGGGTGATAAAGGAGTCTTCTGGAGGACACGAGGATCTCATCATCCTTCATTATGATCAGGTAGATGAGGAACAATTATTGGTAGCTATGGTTTTTTATTTTATATGTTTTCTTTAAATTTTATTGTAGATTCAGAGTGGAAACCTCGGGGATAATATAAATGTTAAAAAAGAGTATAAAGAGGAGGATGAGGAGTATGGAGTGATGAAGAGGTTTTCAGATGGGCACAAGGATATGATGGAGCCACCTAATACCAGGAACCCACCAGAGAGATGTTCCCTTCCTCTGTATTCCCGGGATTCCACACAGGAAGGTCACACCATCCCTCACCATCATCAGGTAGATGGACCCAGTCATGGGAACCCACCAGAGAGATGTCCCTGTCCTCTGTATTCCCGGGATTCCACACAGGAAGGTCACACCATCCCTCACTATCATCAGGTAGATGAAAAACAATCACTGATAGTATCATTAGGATCTGTACATTATCTGCATTGTTACCATTGATGTCATTTTTATTATATATTCAGAGTGGAAACCTGAGAGAGTCTACAGTTGAGGTCAAAAAAGAGATAACAGAGGAGGATGGAGTGGTGAAGGACCTCTCTGAAGGACAAAAGAATATCTACAAGGATATTATGATGGAGCCACCTAATACCACGAACGCACCAGAGAGATGTCCCCATCCTCTGTATTCCCGGGATTCCACACAGGAAGGTCACACCATCCCTCACCATCATCAGGTAGATGGATCCAGTCATGGGAACCCACCAGAGAGATGTCCCCTTCCTCTGTATTCCCGGGATTCCACACAGGAAGGTCACACCACCCCTCACCATCATCAGGTAGATGGACCCAGTCATGGGAACCCACCAGAGAGATGTCCCCGTCCTCTGTATTCCCGGGATTCCACACAGGAAGGTCACACCATCCCTCACTATCATCAGGTAGATGAAGAACAATCACTGATAGTATCATTAGGATCTGTACATTATCTGCATTGTTACCATTGATGTCATTTTTTATTATATATTCAGAGTGGAAACCTGAGAGAGTCTACAGCTGAGGTCAAAAAAGAGATAACAGAGGAGGATGGAGTGGTGAAGGACCTCTCTGAAGGACAAAAGAATATCTACAAGGATATTATGATGGAGCCACCTAATACCACGAACGCACCAGAGAGATGTCCCCATCCTCTGTATTTCCGGGATTCCACACAGGAAGGTCACACCATCCCTCACCATCATCAGGTAGGTGGAGTTGAGGGTCGGGAACATAAAGTGATGGAACACTCTGACATGTGGAGACGATGTGTGGAATCTACAAGATGAGATGTTCTATGTGATCTCACATCATAAATCCTTCTGTGTTACAGATGTTTTTTTCTGCCATTCTGTTGGTTTAGGGTGAAGATCTGATGAACATGAAAGTTGAGGGTGAAGTAGAAGAGACGTATGTGAGGGATGATCAGCAATATACGGAGGAGGCTGGAATGAGGAGGACAGTCATAGAGGAGAACACTCCTACAGAGATCAGCACAGGTGACCAGAATATATTCTTCTCTTATTTCTGCTCTGTTACCGCCCCCCCAGCCCCCATTGGTTCCTGCTCCTCTGACAAGGCGGTGTAAATGTAGAAGTGACCTGGGAGGACCAAAGGCCCTTTGACTGAAGAGGGGAGGAGTCCCAGCTGGTTGGGACATCCACAGAGAACATCTGCTCCCTCCTATCTCCCTGATCCAGATGGAATCTTGATGGAAGTGAACTAACCCTCTCCTATCTATTGATGTTTTTCTATTTTTTCAGGACCCGCCATGGAGAAACCCTCAAAGGATCGTCTCACTTTATCTCCAGGTTGTAAAATGGAAGATGAGGACATCCCAGGAGATTGTGCCAGAGAAAAGACAATGAGCTCCACTATGGATGGTGGACTTCCCAGTGTGGAGAGACCATGGAGTCCCTCTGACTCTGAGCAACCTCGTGCTGTGGGGGATGGGGCCGGGGTTCAGGGGGAGAAGACATCTTCCTATCCTGAATCTGTGGAAAGCTTTAGCTCTGAATTAAGTCTTTCTATACAACATAGAACTGAAATGGGGAAGAAGTTGTATTCCTGCCCTGAGTGTGGGAAATGTTATCCACGGAAATCAGAAGTTGTCGTACATTACAGATCTCACACGGGGAGAGGCCATTTTCCTGTCCCGACTGTGGGCTGTGTTATCCGCTGAAATCAACACTTGTCAGACATCAAAAAATCCACGCAGATAAGGAGCTGAATTTATGTCCTGAGTGCGGGAAATGTTTTTTAGAGAAGTCAAGTCTTAACAAGCATTTGAAGCTCCACAAAGGTGAAAAGCCTTATTCCTGCACTGAGTGTGGGAAATGTTACCGATGGCAATCAAAACTCCTTACACATATAAGATCTCACACAGGTGAGAAGCCTCACTTCTGTCCTGAGTGTGGGAAATGTTTTTCAGAGAAGTCCACTCTTCACAGACATCTGAGAATTCACACAAGCATAAAGACTCAAGCCTGCCTTTAGTGTGAGAAATGGTTTCTCATGGAAGTCCCATATTTGCAGACATCAGAGGGTTCACACAGGCGTAAGAGCTATTCCTGCACAAACTGCAGGAAATGATCTCACAGCAGTCCTGTCTTTACAGAAATCAGAGGGTTCACACAGGCAGAAGACCTATTCCTGCACGAAGTGTGGGAAATGTTCTCATAAAAGCCCTGTCTTTACTGACATTAGAGGATTTACTTAGGCAAAAGACCTATTCCTTCAGAAAGTGCAGAAAATGTTCTCACCGTAGTCCTGTCTTTACTGACATCAGAGGACTGACACAGGCAGAAAATCTATGCCTTCAGAAAGTGCGGGAAATGTTCTTACAGAAGGCCTGTCTTTACAGATATCAGAGGATTGACACAGGCGGAAGACCTATTCCTTCAGAAAGTGCAGGAAATGTTCTTACAGAAGGCCTGTCTTTACAGATATCAGAGGATTGACACAGGTGGAAGATCTATGTCTTCAGAAAGTGCAGGAAATGTTCTTACAGAAGGCCTGTCTGTACAGATATCAGAGGATTGACACAGGCAGGCAAGATCTATGCCTTCAGAAAGTGCAGGAAATGTTCTCACCGTAGTCCTGTCTTTACAGACATCAGAGGATTGACACAGGCAGAAGATCTATGCCTTCAGAAAGTGCAGGAAATGTTCTCACCGTAGTCCTGTCTTTACAGACATCAGAGGATTGACACAGGCAGAAGATCTATGCCTTCAGAAAGTGCAGGAAATGTTCTCACCGTAGTCCTGTCTTTACAGACATCAGAGGATTGACACAGGCAGAAGATCTATGCCTTCAGAAAGTGCAGGAAATGTTCTCACCGTAGTCCTGTCTTTACAGACATCAGAGGATTGACACAGGCAGAAGATCTATGCCTTCAGAAAGTGCAGGAAATGTTCTCACAGAAGGCCTGTCTTCACAGACATCAGAGATTCACATGGGGGAGAAGACGTGCTGAGTAATGTTTTTCGCATAGGACTTAGCATCCCAAATTTAAAAAAAATGTCTTCTATATAAACAAGTTCAGCCTGGAACACTGGAGCCCACCAGTGAACATTTGGTTTTTGGGGGTCTGCCTTCCAGACCCGTCACATTTTCCCACACAATGCAAAAATGATGTTCTTCCACCACCCTCGGTATCACTCCTGATGCCACCACATGACACCAAACCCATGCTACCCGCCATTGTATAGAGAGAATTCCTGAGACTAAAGGCAAGACCCCCAGTATTTGCGTCTTGTGTCTGTGCATTTTATCTTCACCACTTCTGCTCCGGAAAATTCTACCCCCCCTTCATGACCAGGCTATTCAGAATTGCGCTGCTTTAAATGGCAGATGCACAACGCTGTACCCTAACGAATATCTTTTTTTTTTATAAAAATGGAGATTTCTTTTGGTGGTATTTTATCACTGTGGGGTTTTTTTTTTTTTTTTCATTATATAAAAGAAAAATAAATACATTTTGAAAAAATATTTTCTAATTTCTATTTTAGGAAACATCCATTTATAAAAAAAAATTAAATTTCTTGATAAATTTAGGGCAAAGTGTATTTTTTGGTAAAAAAACCCAAACAAAACAAAAACAAAATCTGTAAATTTATTTCAGGTACTTATATAGAGCCGTCAATTTACGCAGTTTTTTTACATACAGTTGCAAGAAAAAGTATGTGAACCCCTTGGGATTACGTGGAGTTTTCCATGAATTGGGCATAAAATGTGCTCTGAACGTTATCTAAGTCACAACAATAGAAGAACACAGTCTGCTGAACATAATACTACACAAACATTAGATGTTGCCATGGTTTAATTGCACATAACATGTAAACAAACACAGTGCAGGGAGGAAAAAGTATGTGAACCTTTGGACTTAATAACTGGTTGACCTCCTTTGGCAGCAATAACCTCAACCAAACGTTTCCTGTAGTTGAAGATCAGACCTGCACAACGATCTGGAGTAATTTTAGACCACTCCTCTTCACAAAAACTGTTTCAGTGTAGCAATATTCTTGGGATGTCTGGTGTGAATCGCTCTCTTAAGGTCATGCCACAGCATTTCAATCGGGAAGAACACATAACACTATGTGAGGAGAAAAAAAGGCACAGCACACCAACATCAAAACCTCATCCCCACTGTAAAACATGGCGGAGGGAGCATCATGGTTTGGGGCTGCTTTGCTGCCTCAGGGCCTGGACGGATTGTTGTCATTGATGGGAAAATGAATTCCAGAGTTTATCAAGACATTTTGCAGGAAAACGTACGACCATCTGTCCGCCAACTGAAGCTCCGCAGAGGATGGGTGATGCAACAGGACAATGACCCAAAGCATACAAGTAATTCAATAAAACAATGGCTGCAACAGCACAGAATACGCCTTCTGAAGTGGCCCAGTCAGAGTCCTGACCTCAACCCGATTGAAATGCTGTGGCATGACCTTAAGAGAGCGATTCACACCAGACATCCCAAGAATATTGCTACACTGAAACAGTTTTGTGAAGAGGAGTGGTCCAAAATTACTACTTCACCTTTCCAGCACACATCCTCTCTCCCCTCAAATTTTCCACCCCACCACCAATCCTGTCCCTCCTCCTAGCCTAAATCCCCCCAATTCTCCCTCCTAGAACAAATCCTCTCCCCAAAATTCCCCCTCCTAGCCTAAATCCCCCCAATACCCCCCCTAGCACAAATCCTCTCCCCCAAATCACCCCTCCTAGCCTAAATTCCCCCTCCTAGCACAAATCCTCTCCCCCAAATTCTCCCTCCTAGCCTAAATCTCCCCAATACCCCCTCCTAGCACAAATCCTCTCCCCCAAATCACCCCTCCTAGCCTAAATCCCCCCAATTCCCCCTCCTAGCACAAATCCTCTCCCCCAAATCCCCCCTCCTAGCCTCAATACCCCCTCCTAGCATAAATCCTCTCCCCCAAATCCCCCCTCCTAGCCTAAATCCCCCCAATCCCACCTCCTAGAACAAAATCCTCTCCCCCAAATCCCCCCAGTACCCCCTCCTAGCACAAATCCTCTCCCCCAAATCCCCCCTCCTAGCCTAAATCCCCCTAATTCCCCCCCCCAGCACAAATCCTCTCCCCGCAAACCCCCCTCCTAGCCTAAATTCCCCCTCCTAGCACAAATCCTCTCTACCAAATCCCCCCTCCTAGCCTAAATCCCTCAATCTCCTCCTGCTAGCACAAATCCTCTCCCCCAAATCCCCCCTCCTAGCCTAAATCCCCCAATACCCCCTCCTAGCACAATTCCTCTCCCCAAATCCCCCCTCCTAGCCTAAATCCCCCCAATTCCCCATCCTAGCACAAATCCTCTTCCCCAAATCCCCCTTCCTAGCCTAAATCTCCCCAATACCCCCTCCTACACAAATCCTCTCCCCCAAATCCCCCTCCTAGCCTAAATCCCTCCTGCTAGCACAAATCCTCTCCCCCAAATCCCCCCTCCTAGCAAAAATCCTCTCCTCCAAATCCCCCCTCCTAGCCTAAATCTCCCCAATACCCCCTCCTACCACAAATCCTCTCCCCCAAATCCCCCCTCCTAGCCTAAATCACCCCAATACCCCCCTCCTAGCACAAATCCTCTCCCCCAAATCCCCCCTCCTAGCCTAAATCCCCCCAATTCCCCCTCCTAGCACAAATCCTCTCCTCCAAATCCCCCCTCCTAGCCTAAATCCCTCAATCCCTCCTATTAGCACAAATCCTCTCCCCCAAATCCCCCCTCCTAGCCTAAATCCCCCCAATCCCTCCTCCTAACACAAATCCTCTCCCCCAAATCCTCCCTTCTAGCCTAAATCCCCCCAATCCCTCCTCCTAACACAAACCCCCCTCAAAATGACCCTTCCCAGCGCAAATCCCCCCCTCCATTCCGCCGTTAATACAAATTTTGCCCCCTAGCACAATTCCCCCCCACTAACCCCCCTCCTAGCACAAATTCCCCCCCCCCAATCCTTCCTCCTAGCACAACCCCCCACTAGTACAAATTCCCAACCAATCCCCCCTCCTGACACATATTCCCCCAATCCCCTCTCCTAACAAAAATTCCCTCCAATCCCCCCTACTTACAGAAATCCACAATCCCCTCTCCTAGCACAACCCCCCCACCCCCCCCCCATTTCCCCGCCTAACACAAATCCACCCCTAGCACAAATTCCTCCCCCAATCCCCTCTCTTACACAAATCCCCCCTCCTAGCACAACCTCCCCCCAATCCCCCATTCTAGCACAAATGCCCCCCCCCCCCATCCTTCCTCCTAGCACAACCCCCCAGTCTACCCCCAACAGAACAAATTGCCAACCAATCCTCCCTCCTGACAAATCCCCCCCCCCCCCCAATTCCCCTTCCTAACACAAATCCACCCCCTAGCACAAATTCCTCCCTCAATCCCCTCTCCTAGCACAAATCCTCAGCCAAATCCCCCCACCTAGGACAAACTCCCCCAAATCCCTCCTCAAGCTAAAACCAATCCCCCCCCCCCAAAAAAAAAAAAATGCTTCCTCCTAGCACAACCCCTCAATCCCTCTCACCAGTACAAATTCCCAACCATTCCCCCCTCCTGACACAAATTCACCCAATCCCCCCTCCCAGCACCAATCCTCATCATCCAATCCCCCCTCCCAGCACCAATCCTCATCACCCAATCCCCCCTCCCAGCACCAATCCTCACCATTCAATCCCCCCGCCTAGGACAAACTCCCCCAAATCCCTCCTCAAGCTGAAACCAATCCAAATTACCCATGCCATCATAAAATCCTCCCACCTTACCCAAACACCCTCCCCCCTCCAAAACTCCCCCTACTCCTAGCACATATCCCCTATTCCTTCTCCTAGCACAAATACCCCCCCCCCCCCCCCCCCCCCCCCTTCATCACCCCCATTACCTTTCCCAGCACAAATAGCCCCCATCCCCCTCCTGCACAAAT